TTCCCGGACTCCATCCGCTCCGAAAATTTCACAGTGATGCCGTGCTTCTTGCGGTTTCGTATAACTCTAAATCGTACTACGATACTGACCAACAGTGACTAACACCACACCACGTTAATGTGATTTTGCTTGTCTTGCACCTCAGTGTTGCCGTAGAATCGTGGCCAGTAGCTGAAAGGGTGACGTTGGGAGAAACTCAGTACCGTGATTGCACTGCTGCACCAGACGAATGAGCGCCGAAACTGCTGCCACTGACCATGATGCTTGTGAAGGGATGGATGGCACATGCAAATGCTGCGCAGCTACGTCTGCCTGCATTTTCGGCGTGGCCCGTGAAGCTGCTTGATCACATTCCGGTCCGCTTGCGACCAAGATTTTACTATGTACATCGGCAGCTCATGCTGCGAGTCATGCTTGTCGCTTTCAGGCAGGATGCTCTTGATCAACTGCCTGCGGCTTGCACGAACAATGATGTGTTTGCAAGTCTCCGTGCAAAGAGTGCTGCTACAGCCTTTCCCGCCTCGCAACTCACGAATAGTGTGGCATTTGGCGTGAGCCCAGCTGCTTCCAAAGTTTCAGTCCCGTCCTTACCACAACTCTGACTCGCTTTTAAAACTGTACTGCGACCTGCTCACCAGTCGTCGCAGCGACCGCGTAAGGTGGAAAATGAAGGCCGGAGGCATGGAGATCGGAAAAAGTCGGCGATTTTTTGGCCAGGCACGTCAGCATCCGTGGAAGCACCGTCGTAGTAGTGGTGGCGGTGGTAGTAGTAGTAGTAGTAGTAGTAAGAGGGGGAGCAGGAGGCGGAGGAGGAGGAGCGCTGGCAATCCGTCAGCATGCTCCTAAGCCACGCATCCAAGCATCGGACACGTTGCGCAAGCAGTTGCGGAGGAGGCGGCCGCGGATGAGTTCTATAGCTGCTCAGCTTTACTGGCTTTCTATTGATATCATTGCAAGGCATGCTAAGAGCGTTCGGCTTCGGTTCTTTTTCGCATCTGCCACCGGTCACCTCGTTACCGCGATGCACGAACCTCGCCACGAGGATATGCCTTGGGAATCTGTTAGGCTCGTTCCCGGGCCTGAGCACCCTTCTGTCTCAAAAAAGGGTTACGATCGCATATCTATGCGCAACCCCCAGCCCCAATGGGGCCTTCAAGAAGTGGGGTAGCTCCACGGGAGACCGCACTTCAGGGTGGGTTGAGTGGGAAAGCGAAAACTCTATGCCGCTTTGGGTCAAAACCTTGAACCGCAAAGGCACATGCATTTCGTTTCAGCTCTGCTTGCAATGAAGACTGCTCACTCAGTGCCGACCAAACACAAAGCAGTTTTACATACAAAGCATGCTTAGAGCATTCGGCTCCGGTTCTTTTTCGCATCTGCCACGAACCTCGCCGCGAGGATATGCCTTGGGAATCTGTTAGGCTCCGCCTAACAGATCGCAACCCTGGCACAAGTGTTCCTCACTTGGCCGAGGCCCGGTTCCCGGGCCTCAAAAAAGGGTTACGATCGCATATCTATGCGCAACCCCCAGCCCCAATGGGACCTTCAAGAAGTGGGGTAGCTCCACGGGAGACCGCACTTCAGGGTGGGTTGAGTGGGAAAGCGAAAACTTTATGCCGCTTTGGGTCAAAACCTTGAACCGCAAAGGCACATGCATTTCGTTTCAGCTCTGCTTGCAATGAAGACTGCTCACTCAGTGCCGACCAAACACAAAGCAGTTTTACATACAAAGCATGCTTAGAGCATTCGGCTCCGGTTCTTTTTCGCATCTGCCACGAACCTCGCCGCGAGGATATGCCTTGGGAATCTGTTAGGCTCCGCCTAACAGATCGCAACCCTGGCACAAGTGTTCCTCACTTGGCCGAGGCCCGGTTCCCGGGCCTGAGCACCCTTCTGTCTCAAAAAAGGGTTACGATCGCATATCTATGCGCAACCCCCAGCCCGAATGGGGCCTTCAAGAAGTGGGGTAGCTCCACGGGAGACCGCACTTCAGGGTGGGTTGAGTGGGAAAGCGAAAACTCTATGCCGCTTTGGGTCAAAACCTTGAACCGCAAAGGCACATGCATTTCGTTTCGGCTCTGCTTGCAATGAAGACTGCTCACTCAGTGCCGACCAAACACAAAGCAGTTTTACATACAAAGCATGCTTAGAGCATTCGGTTCCGGTTCTTTTTCGCATCTGCCACGAACCTCGCCGCGAGGATATGCCTTGGGAATCTGTCAGGTTCCACCTAACAGATCGCAACCCTGGCACAAGTGTTCCTCACTTGGCCGAGGCCCATTGCCAAGGCACTAAATGAACCGTGCAACCACCCACACAACGCGTGGGAAACTGACCGAAACGGTCGAAAACGACTGTCTGACATGCCAGGGATACTTCCACCCCAATCTGGACATGGAGTCCGCGCAGTTGGACCTTGAAGGAATGTACTCGGACCACATTTGTACGTTCAGGCATAGCAGCAAGATATGTACCATGTGTGCGAACCGTTCGAAGTCTTTAGAAGATGAGCGCCCCTTGACCAATGCCATGAGCGAGGCCAGGCTATCGAGAAACCAGAAGCCACGTCTGTTCCTGAAGCGGTCAGGTCGGCTCAACAGCGCAGATATTCCAAGCTGTGCGATGTGCACCTCCGCAGGCCGCCCAACGCAGCGTCCGATGCAGCCACAAAGCACACGCAGGGCAGCGGCATCACGGGCAATCCCCGCTCAGGCTTGGACCGAATAATGACCCTGACGTAAAGGAAGTTGTCTTGCAGGTCCTGGGAAAGTTGAGAATGCCATACAGCACCTTGCCGTTGAGCGTGGCCGGCATCTGGGTGACCTGCTCCTTGGCTGACTTGGCTCGTGTCCTTGCTGCTCTGTATGGCCAGGTCCTCGTCAGTGCCAGGGATCGGTGGAGGGTCTCGGTGCCTGGTGCACCGTGACCGTGTTTCGGACGATGGTCTCGACCTTCTGCCTTGGTCCGCTCCGGCTCGCTGCCCGTCACCGCGCTCCAATCCTCGAAGCCCCTGACCTCCCAAGCCACAGCCAGAGTCATTGCCTTGTACCGGGTGCAAGGGAGGTGGCCCACCAGCTCCTCGGTCAAGGGGCAGAAACCTGGAACAGCACCTCAATCAGCTTCGAGCTCTAACACCAGTGAAAGTGCAGAAAGAAGGCACCCTTCCTGCTCCGCCCGCACGGCCGTCGATGCATCCGCCGCGTGGCGCCCTGCCTGCCTGACAGCTCGTAGTTGGTATATAAATTAATATTTGAAATAAAGTCGGCGTCCCGTTGCAGCCTCCACTCTCAGGTTCGGCTCACCTGGACAGAAGTCTCGGCAGACCAGGCCCGATGCCAGCCATGGTGCTCCACACCCCAAGGCCCGAGACTGACTGAGCGAGCCGACGAAGGTATGGGAGCCGAGCATGGTACACAACAGCCCTGCAACCACCTGAGAATGCAAAGGACCCTGTACCAGCACGCCCAGGAGATGAACACTGCGCCCCAGCACTAATGGCTTCATAGGGAAAGGCTGGAATGCGGTTACCGACCACACCCCGGCCCTCGAATACCTGCGTAGGCTGAAAGCGGCAGTGGCTGCAGTTACCGAACGCTCGCCCCCCGAAGCACCGCCCCCGTCATAAAGCAAAGTCTTGTGAGACCAGTGGCACCGAGGAGCTCGAAGGCCATGACCTAGGCGCAGTGAATGCCTCCCGCCAGGCAGTCCACGCAAGTCGGGCTGTCACATTTGCGGCTGCGCAATGCAGAAGGGCCGCACGAACCAGGGCAAGACCACCGTGCCTGCTTCGAACGCCCAACGCACGGTGCACCGTGCCACCTCGGAGATTCTTCCTGCTTCTCGGGAAGGACGTTCGCGCCACAACTGCTGGGGTAAGGCCTGAGCCTGCCGCTACAGCCTGACATGTCGAACCAAGCAATTGAGGAGATCGGTCGGCCAAAGGCCGCTCGCAAGCCCCAGCACCTGCAAACCTGACAAGGTTTCGGCATTCCCGATACATACTGCTCCCAAGCGGCCATTGGCGTGGTACCCGGTGCCACCACCACCAACCTTGAAGGTGCCAATAAATGGGAATTGGTAGCCCCCCCACCGTGCCGGCAACACGCGCATCCCTGGTCCACACAGGGCACGACGCGAATCAGAGGAACTCCTGGCGGCAGGGCGTCAAGAACATCTGCAGGGTTGAATTTCGAGACCAGAGCAAGGCAGCTTCGTAGGAGGCCCCCGCTGCAACCAGCTCACGAAACCAAGCCCGGTAGTCGAGCATAGCGGCGGGGTGAAGCACCTGCTCGCTGGTGTGCACAGCCAAGCGAGCAATCGCAAATAAAGCCTCCTGCAAAGCAAAATCTCTAAGACTCTAAGCCGTTTTGGGTCAAAACCTTGAACCGAAATGGCACGTGCATTTCGTTTCAGCTGCTTGCAATGAAGAGTGCCTACAAAACACAAAGCAGTTTTAGTCAATTTAGCCCGCACGCCACCCACCCCGGCCCCTCTACAAATCAGAGAATCGTGTGAACTTGTCCTTTTACCCCCCCTCTTCCACCCCTCGGCAAAGCAGAGAATCCTGTGAACCGTAAGCGGTTCCCGTTCAAGTAACCGATACTATCAACAATACATTGACATAACAATACGCCGTCTGGTCTGCCTCACTGCTAAAAGCAAGACTTTACTCAAGCCTGTTACACAAGCTTTCGTGATTCGGGTCCACGGAAAGACAACCCTGCCACAGCCTTCCTGTGCAAGAACGTGCTATATAAATCATGCTTGCATGGACTGGAGCAGAAACTCAGTGTATTCGCGGTGCCAATCCATCCAGAAAGGGTATTGCGAGTGCGTGGAGATGCCTGTCCTGAAGCCATTGTGACCACGTGGGAGATGTGAGAGAAACAGCCGCACAAGAACATGGCTTCACATGCTGGTGCACGAAAACCTCCAGTACCCTTCAGAGCAGTCTTCTGGCACTGTACTGCATAGCTCGGCTTGGAAGAGGAAACCACAAC